GTTTGTCAAATAAAGCCTATTTGATCACTGAAAAATGCAATTGTTTGCTATCTGTCCATAAACACTATCTATCTGAGGATTGAAAAATCAGCCCTTAATCTTATTACCTTAATCTTTAGGTTTCAATATGTAGGTATCTTAATTTACATTTTAAATAACACTGGACAGTATTAAAACTGTATTATTGACTAGCTCCTGCCCGCGACTTCGTACGCGGATCCTGTTGCTTATGCCAGCGACAACGGGATCGTCAAAATCGAAGATCTGAAACGTCTGATGTTGAATTCTAAAAGCTCGGGGATGGGAAAACAACGTGATTCGCGAGACGATTCGAAACGTTCTAGATCTTTCATTTTTGTAAGTCAACAGGAAATGCCCATCAGACTAAACAACTTTTGCTAAGACGTCATTCCTATATATGTTATAGTGTCGCTGGGCTTTGGATGGAGTGTAACTCCTTGTATGTTATTAAGTTAATATATTGGTAATATTGTTTAGATCACGTTCACATGAGGCTTAAGTACTTATAGAACATAAATACTTTAGCGCAAAGCTTCCGGGTAAACTATTCTTACGAGCTTGAGGTTCGTGACAATAAAAACTGCCGATTGAATTACCAAAATTTACACTTTTATTACCCAAAACCAATTAAAACTAAAAAACACTAATAATTAATCACACTGATTCATTTTATTTCGCTCCGAAGCTTCGCTTGTCTTCGCCAAAATTCAATACTTCCTCGATCGCATCTTGCAGCGCCTTTAAATACACATTGTCACCGAAACATCCAGAATATTCAAGTAAATACGCGCGCCAATCGACTAGGCGCCGAAAGTTCGAGTGTAGGGCTTCTAGAAAGCTTAGTTCTTCATTTCGATACTAGATGGCGCTGTCGGTTGAAAGATTAGTTATGTCATTTTCTGGAAATCCTTTCTCGCTCTGTTACCCGACACAGATGGCGCTAGTGCCAGACGTCAACTTAGGCGCGCAACACTATGTTGAAAGTTGACCCGTCCGGCACGTGAACATAAAGATTTCTAGAACTGCTAACCCGGGAAAGAGCGACGTACAACTGACCATGCGAGAAACAACTGACACCGAGATCTACTCCAGCAGCACGAAAAGTCTGCCCTTGAGCCTCATTAATTGTCATTGCATAACACACTAATACTGGGAATTGCGTTCTTTTAAATTGGAATCGAAAATTATTGGGTATTATGAGAATTAAATTCTTAAAAATATATAAGTAGGTACATAAACTACGTCTAATAGAATGAAATAACCTATTTGATACCTAGGTACCTATTTAAAACTACAGCTAAATAAATAAAAAAAGTTTAATTTAAAATTAAGCTAATTATAACTTATTTTATAAAATAACAACCAAAGAAATCTAAAAATAAATTATTAAACGTAAGAGTAGACTAAAAGTCGCGTTGAGAAGCACGGTTTGTTAAAATCAATTATTATCTGTCAATAAGGTCTAACACTCTGAATGTCTATTCGCATTAACAGCCAAATATTGTATGAAGCTCGCGCTTTTTTTTTTTGCGCCCGAAGCAAATATGGGCAACCCTCCGGAAAGCGGGGGAGGGAGGTTGAGAATGCTCATATCATACCACGCAGCCGGCTGCATGGTTATGTGGTGACTTTTACCCACTAAACTTTTTAGGAATTGGCTTAACGATCTGACTAGAGATCTCTAAGCCGTATACGAACTCGACCCTCCTTGGCAGAAAGGAGGGCGCAACCAAGCTCGCACTCGGACCCCCCACCTTTTTATACCTCCCGCTGCAAGCCGCGTCGAGCGCGGCGACCGTTACACAAATCCTTATAGTATGATTCAGTATTCACGCGCGATGGCTTATTAGCGTATTTCATGTATAACTTTGGTGTTTCTGTACCGATTTCTATGATTCTTTTTTATTGAATAGATAATAATGTTAACTTCTTTTAATTGTAGTCCACCAAATCTAAGAAATACATTTTGACAGCTGTCAGACTTAATGCACCAAGCATGCCTACCAAAAAATGGGAACGTACAATATTCTATTCTTCAAAAAATCGATATCGATTATTTAGAGTTAGTAATCATTTATAGTTTGATTTGAATAATACCAGAATAAATTAAGATATAAGATTTATCAGATTTTTCGTATTTGTTATTTACTATGTTGAAACTAGATTAAAAATAAATTTATTCAATCAATTCCATTACAAGTACTTGAGCTGCCGTTGTTTAGAATAATTATTATTTGATTTTCAATAATGCAGTCAAACTTAATGTCTTTCAAAGTCATCCATAATATTTTTTTTTTGTTTTTTTACCACTTTTGCCCAATCAACGTTTTTAACATGGGCACATGCTTCAACGAATATAGAAGAAACAGTCCAAAAAGTTAAAACCGAGTCACAAAATAAGAAGACAAACACAAAATCACAAAATTACGCACAGTAAACTCCCGAAATGGTGGGAGATTGAAATTACGTAGTGGTTTTTCAGCGCGGCCTTGTAGGTATATTGAGTTTTTTTGCCTACATGGGACAATGGCGAAATAATAGGTGATGGAATTATTAAGCGTCTACTTTAGTCACCATTACAGATATCAATAAAATAATTTACTATGTATTATTAAATCATACTTATGAGCCATAGAAAAAATAATCGTACACAATTCAAAACTTAATTGACTAGTTGTTGTAGTTATTACGATTTATCAGTTAAGACGGACAAAGATCTTATGAACATATAGCTGAGTTTGACGTGTATTTTATTCAGAAAACTCTTCTATATATACTAATGCGTTCTTTAAGGATTCCCTCTATGCTAGTAACTATCTTATATAAATATATATGAAAATTATATTGACTAGTTGGTGTTGTAACGATTTGCCAGTTAAGGCGTTTTATACCATACAGCCTAGTCTACATCAAACTTTTATTTTGTATTTTGTTTAAACTGGAGTATCTCTAATTCCCGACATCCTGCAGTAGTATTGCTGAAGAAAAAAATGTTCAGGATCTTAAACTATATTTTTCATTTGTTGTTTATTACTGTTTGCAAACGCAAGAAAAAAAATCAACTAAAATTTATTTGGGAGTGTGCCATTGTCCTTTACGTTGACAAAGTAAAAAAAAACTTGTTTTATTCATGATTCATGTAATTTAAAGAATTTTAAAAATAAAAATTTAATTAAACAAATAATACATTAAAAAATTAATGATTCGATTATTTAATATTTTTGCTGATTATTTGCATATCAATGAATTTTAATCATCCAAACACTACGGTAAGGCACATAGCGACATATCATTGAAAAGACGTCAAGTAAAAAAGTTGATACTGGTTATTTTTTTAATATGTTACTTTGTTTGAAAGATTCGAATTTAAATTAGCGATAAAAAACTAAACATGTTATAACTAAATATAGATAACTTCATAATTCTTCGGATTTAGGTAAAAGGTTATTGTAAATCATATGAGTACGCTTGCGTAAAGTTATTGCGAAATGATTAATGTGAAACGTCAAAAGGTATTTCTTAGATTTGGTTGATTATAGGGATGAGTGAGAGTGTTATAAACGTAAGAGTAGACAAAGAGTTACACATGTTATTGTGAGTCAACCATAAAAGATAGACATATACTGTCGTGGGTTATTTTTTATACAATTTTAAGGAGAACATTTCCGTTATACATGATTTCTGTGTAGCTTTAACCATTAAGGCTGCACATGCGACGGAAGCTTAAAAAATGGAGTAATTTCTTCCATTTCCCTAACATTTCCCTTCACTGCTCTGCTCCTATTGATCATAGTGTGATGAAAAGTATACTATAACTTGCCCATGAGTATGAAGAATGATTGTACCAAGTTTCGTTAAAATCCGTCGAGTAATTTTTGTTTCTATAACAAACATACAGACAGACAGACAAAAATTTTACTGTTCTCATTTTTGGCATCAGTATCGATCACTAATCACCCCCTGATAGTTATTTTGGAAATATATTTCATGTACAAAATTGAACTCTCTACAGATTCATTATAAGTATAGATAACCATCATCATCATTACAAAAAATTTCAAATTCCACTGCTGAATATAGGCCTCCCTAAATTAATATTACATACCAGAGTCCTGAGTCATCCTGATCATCCATCAACTTTCTGCATCTTTTACTAGGTTATCTCTCCAATTAGTAGGAGGCTCCCCTACACTTCTCTTACTGTTACGGAGCTGCCACTTGAGAACTTTCATCCCTATTTATTTGAGCTAATGACTGGCCCATTGTTAATTCAGCTTAATGAATTAACAATGGGCCATTATTCTCATTAAGTCAATCACACAAAAAAACACCAGTGGATAACCACTTCTAAGTCATCACTAGTATTAATAATTTTAAGTACTATTAAAAGAAAATAGGCAATGAAAACATTTTACTATCTGTCAAACTTCATTATGGGGTATGTTCCGAAACATTTCCAGTGTACTGCCGAATAAAAATAATGTCATCAATTGACACCTATTGTACTGGCATGTCGCCGTCATATTGTGTTGGATATCCAGCCATATTGAAACAATTTTTAATTGTGTGTACGCTGAATGAAGCATGCCAGAATATGTTTTTAATTATTCAAATACAAAAAATTATAGAGTAATTGCTGGTATTTCCATTAGGAGGATATAATGATTTTTGGAGCACAAAATGACAAAATAATCGCGAACACTTTTACAATAAGCTGCAAATGTATGACATTATATACTGTCCTATGTTTTAGAACATTTCACCAGTATGGCGTCGATTCATGATGTCATTTGCACTGGACAGTACATTGGGTTCTGTTTTGGAACATACCCATGATAAAGTTTAATGCTTTGAATAATTTGACTTATCATTTTTACAGGATTTATAGCTTATACTAAATTTATTACGTATTTTGGTGTCACTGCCATAATATAAAAGATACTATAGTTACTGAGGCATTAGGGAAAGGTAATGCTTACTTCACCTAGCATTGTAGTCTTCATAAACAAAGTTGCATGAACTAAATCATGAACCTCTCTATACCTTTGCAATACATATGCCAAATCAGGATCAGCAATAAATTGGACTGGCAGCCTCGAGTCCGCAGTTATGTTATTATCTTTCATAAAATTTGCATAAACTCTACCAACTGTTCCTTCCGGCATTTCTGAAAGTGTCTTAAAACAAACAGTTCGGGAATTTATACGCGGTTGTTCTATGAGAATTTTCGCACCTTCATTAGTTTCTAGCATTTTCTCGCGCATATATTTAATAGAATTTCCTCCAGTAACTTCTCCTAGACATGCAATCATGTCTCCTCTATGTGGATTAATAAGAGCAATAGCAGCCGAACCCACCGACAAGATTGTCTTTTGAAACGTTGTCGTGGGGATATAATTTCCTTTCATCTCTTCTAAAAATGATGAAACTTTAGATTGTGAATGACAAAATCTTCTAATCATAATAATTGTAAACTTAAATTATTTAATTAAATACAAAGACCGAAATTAAACTTTACCACAACTGAAATGTCAGTTTACCAATTAGTCAAACCTATGGTCAAGCCAAAGAGTATAGTAGGCGTAGACCGTAGACAGAGAAACCTATAGACTAATGATCGGCGTGGCCTCGAGTGAGAAAGAACGATAACGAATTTTTAGGTTATAGAATAATCTTTATGACTTTTAAACACATTTAGATAAAAAATTTAATTGTTGTAAGAACTAAACTGAGCAAGATTCACCAATCTTAAGCTCACAAAACACTTTTTTTTCTCACTTAAACCAACTTGTAAACTCCTTAAATCGCTACGCTGTCAAATTTGTTTAGCAAACTGTAGAGTTCTCTGTCTACGCCGTAGGTTAGTTCTCTGTCTAAACCTATAGGCTAATGATTAGCGTGGTCTCGAGTGAGAAACATGGAAATACATGTACTTCGTTTGTCTATACTTCCGTGGTGAGAAACATACATGTACTTCGTTTGTCTATACTTCCGTGGTGAGAAAGGACGATAACGTAGTTTTAGGTTATACTATAACCTTTACGACTTTTAAACATATTTAGACAAAAAATTTAATTGTTCTAAGAACTGAACTGAACAAGATTCACCAATCTTAAGCTCACAAAATACTTTTTTCTCAGTTAAACCAACTTGTAAACTCTTTAGATCGCTACGAATTGTCAAAGTTGTTTAGCAAAGTGTACTTTGCTAAATAAAAAAACCGGCACGGAGAAAGGGACAAACCGTCACACCGCTCTGTCTCATTTCACATGTACTAGATTTTTTATTTTTAATTAACTGGCTTTACGGCTCTGGGTTCTAGCCCTTCTGAGCCCATCATTTCTTTTGGAATCTTCATGTTTATATATTTTTTCTTCACTTCACAATTGAAGTTTTTGGGAGATTTTGACGACAGCTCAGCCCAGTGGACAGTTGATGACGACAGCCACTCAAGTTCACAAGGCGCCCAAGCGATCAAATTAAATTGAGGTTTATATCAAGACAGACACTTAATTCACAAAATCGCGTCACTTTTACGAATCGAAATCCACTTCAAACTATTATTCAAGAGACAAAGCAGGAGCGACAACCTGTCGACGGCCAAGTTCCCGCCAAAACTCACTAGGTAGTAGGTACTAGGATACTACACATAATACACAGTACACATCAAGGAACATATCATAGACGTATATAAAACATATATACGTCTATGGAACATACATATTGTAATCATTAGAGGATGGCCAAATCGTAACAGACAACGAAATGATAACGTCCCAATATTAAATATATATGTAAAATACCCTTATTGTTTAAGGTCTTAAAACACACAAAAATATACCTCTCTAAGTAGCCACAAAAAAGTTATCCATTTATTTCTATTTTTGTAACTGTTCAAAATTATTTCAAAAAATTGGTTTCAGGACGCACATAATGATGACTCACTTCGTGTGTGAAAGGACTGGGTATTCAAAGACTATAAAGCCGACTTTCCGCTATGGGATATAATATAATTTATATTACATCTCGGGATATAAATTAATATCGCTCATCGTACTTTTAAATGGAACCGTTTCTACTGAGATATAATATATATATATATATATATATATATATATATATATATATATATATATATATATATATATATTGTATATATGCTAGGTCTTAGTAGTAAACAGAGATGTAGATATTTATAAATAAACCACTCAATGTACCAAATGACTAAATACAAGTGCAAAATGAGTTTGACAGCACTATTAAAAACTTGGAGTTATGATAAAACTGAGTCTTTCTTACAGAACTCAAACTAAGACATTCTTGGATTATTTTACACACAATAGATGTCACCTACAATTTTGGTTTTAATGTATTTAAATGTAGTTCCAATTTACTTCCTACGATTTTTATATTTTTGTTTACCAAATTTATATTGTTAATTTCAGACACAAGTAAACAAAGAAAATCAACCATCAGATTTATCTGATACGGTTCAGGGTGATGAAGATTCGAATATTTTAATAAAAGTATGTATATTTTTAAAGTGACGATGAGAAGACACCTTCACAGGTTTAATTTAATACTTACTTAATTATATTTGCAGTCAAATGAAAAATATGCAACTAGCGCAGCTTCTAAACGAACCTGGGAAACTATGTTAGACGTGCCATCCTGCAGTCATGTAAGTGCTCTTTTAATTTACACAATTAGCCATTAACGCCTTTTAAATTTTTTATAATAAATATGTATGTTAGTCAATAAGGTATTTATCTATAGGCCTCTATTTACATTAATTAATATCATGTAATGTAAATATTGCCTAAAATAAATTATTATTATTATTAAATTGTTATCTTAATGTGTAATAAACATATTGTTATTCAGTATTGGAAAATCATATATTCGTGTCTTTTCAAGAATCTTGGCCGCTGCGTGATGCTACAAAAGAAAATATAAATATTCCTCTTTGTAAAAAACCACGGTCTTTACTTCGAGACATTTTGGAAACGGAAAGGGAAAATATGAACATCGATGATATTATAACATCCAAAATAGTAATGACATTTTAATTTCATCAGCATACTTTGTTGGTCTATTAAATTGTTAACTACAAAGTCTAAATTTTTTCAGTTTTTAATTTTTTTAAGTTGAATTGTGATTTTAGTTCTGACTATAGCATTTTCACAACTAACTAGTCCATTATAAAAATAATCGTTTTAACAGCTTTTTACTCTTTTAGGTCACGGACAAAAGCACTTCTCCATATCATATCATATCGATAAGAAACAAATCATTAGTTCAAAAAGTATTTCGGCTCAACAAAACTGTTAATAATTTGAAATCTTTAATAAAATTGTAAAATCATATACAGAGGAACAGTGAGATAGAAAATATTATTTCATGAAATTTTGCCAATATTTGTAAAGAATTTAAAAAACAAAAACAAAAAACCACAAGGTGTGAGGTACAGCGATGAAGTGAAATCCTTCGCTTTAACATTACATTTTTATTCGTCAAAAGCGTACGAGTTTATTAAACAATATGCATCTTTGCCACACGTCGAGACCTTAAGACGTTCATTGGCCTCTTTTAATTGCAATGTGGGGCTTTTGTCCGATGTTCTAGAATATTTGAAGCAAAAAGTACAAATACCCGAAAAAATATTTAAAAAAATGTTGCCTTAATATTTGATGGGATGGCATTAAAACAAGATTTACGCTATGATCAAAAACTTGATAAAGTTTTCGGCTATGTTGATCTCGGTAAAATCGTCGTAAGCGATCCGGAAGAAATAGCTACTGAAGCCTTAGTCTTTCAAATCGTGTCCTACACTACATACTTCATAGTGCCCGATAGCTTATTTTTTTTTATTAAAAATAGTTTGCATGGTGAACTTTTAGCAGAAATATTAAATGCTACTATGTTGTTGCTTAACGAAATTGGAATCACAGTCCGCTCAATGATATGCGATGGCGCTCCATCGAATATACGAGCGTACCAATTTTTAGTCTGTTGTCTAGAACAAGAAAATTTTCAGACATATTTTCTACACCTAAATGGTAGCGACAAAATTTATTGTTTTTTGGATGCCGTACACATGTTGAAACTGGCACGTAATGTGTACTAGCAGAACATAAAATATTATCATCAAGTGGGACCACATCATACGCTTTATTCGTAGTTTACATACGGTACAAAGAGAAGAAGGCTTAAAATTTGGTAACAAATTATCATCTACCCACGTAGAATACGAAAATAAAAAAATGAATGTCAAACTTGCGGTCCAAGTTTTGAGTTCATCGGTGACTGAGTCCATCGAGTTCTTAAGACTTAGTGGAAATCCACTTTTTTTGAGGAGTGAAGCCACGGTTGAGTTTTTAAAAATGATAGATAGGATATTTGATTTTATGAATTCCAAATCACCTTTTGGACGTGGTTTCAAAAGTCCTATGAAAATTGAAAACAAAAAATATTGAGAACTGATTTTGCAACAGAAAAAAGAATATTTAAAATCATTATCAATGGAAAAAGTATTTTACACCACGGGCGCAAAACATTTGCTCTAGGTTTTTTAATGAACATTGAAAATTTTCCATTACTTTTTGCCGATTTATTAAACGTCATTCCTCCCATTAAATATCTTTTAACATTTAAATGTTCGCAGGATAATTTAGAAACATATTTTTCTTGTATTAGAGCCCGGGGTCGAACAAATGATAACCCCAGCCCTTTTGAATTCCGACATAGATTAAGAAAATTGTTATATCGAAACTCTGTACAACTCTCAATTAATGGAAATTGCATTGATCATACATACGACGCAATGCATGTATTTGAATTCGGCACTAAACAATCATCCCTAGTAGAACCGATCTCAAATATTGATAATACAGATACTGATGATGAAATCGAAAACCACTTGCAGGCTTTAGAATCACAAAACACCCATACGGATTATCAAAAAAATATTCCTTATTATATTACCGGATATATAATAAAAAATATTGTCAACCGGCTGAAATGTAATGAATGTAAAAATTTGCTAATTGCTGCAGATCATTCACAAACCGATCATTTATACGTTTTAAATATAAATAAATATCAATCCTTTACAATATTTGTAAATCGAGGTAAATTGCATTTTCCATCCGTAGAGGTGTACAAAATTGTCCTTTTTGCGGATAAAATAATTAAAAGGGCATCAAATATGAATAGTCTGGGTCAACCTAATATTAAAAATGTATTAATCAATATCATTATTCAACACTTCACACCACAGTTGCGACAAATGTTTTATCATTCTATGGATGACAGTATAAATTGCTCCGAATTTCATGAATTCAGAATTTTAAAATAAGGACCGTGCTTTGTGGCATTCCTTGGGGGAGGCGTATAAGTGCAGTGGACT